GCCGAGGGATCGAAAACTACGTAAATTCGCGCGTGGGGCCCTTTCTCGTTGTCCCCGAAGCACGGCATTATGCTGTATTATAGCGGAGTTAGCTAGAGGGGGTGGGAATATTTAGGGGCGGGTTAGATTGCCTGAAAGTAATGGAAAGCAAAGAAGATGGGAGGTTAGGAGGGAGAGGAAAGGAGCGCACCTCGTTTCGGGCTCGATCGATGCGCTCACCGCCGCCATACGTCGAAATAAATAACATTCGCGAATTATCCCTCGGAGTCTTGTGCCCATTTGCCTACCCATCGCCGCCCGCCACTCTTCCACCAGCACCAACAGGGCCATAACCTCGTTGTTGCGTAGTGCGCGAGACAGGTAATTTTCGAGGCCGATATCGGGCCAAGAAAGCGACGCTGTCGATCGTATTCGTCGGTGCAGCTCCGCGCGATGTTATTATACGTTGCTTGAAATTTCGTGAGCTTTTACTCTCCCCCCCCCTCTCTTTCTCACTCTCTCTCTCTCTCTCTGCTGCTGCTGCTCGAATTTACGACGTGACTTTCTACGGGCCTTCTCTTCCCATTTCTCTCTCCTATACTTCGTATACCTTCCTCTCTATTATTATCCCCCTCTCTATCTCTCTCTCTCTCTCTCTCTCTCTCTCTCTCTCTCTCTCATGCTCGTTGGCTCGCTCATGTCCACACGTTGCTTCTTTGATCACGTCAGTCACAGTCGTGAATTAATTGTGACAGGTACGGATAACGACACATTATGTTTGGTAAGGCAGAAGAGGAAAGTTACAATCTTTTATTACACCTACATTAAACAAAAACCCAAAAATTTTTGTCAAACGAATATTACGCAATTTACTCGCTTCTTTTGTCGGCAAAGAGTGAAAAATTAGAGGCTGATTTTACTTGGAGATGAAATATTTTCCCTCTCTTTCTTTTTCTTCCTCATCATCTTCTTCTTCTTTTTGTCTTTTTTACTTGAATTATCTTACTTAAACTTATTTAAAGAACATTTTTTCTACGCATTTCTTAATAATCTAATGGATACATAAGCGCGCGAATCTCCAATATTGAACAATGATGAAAGAGTATTTATAAAGGCCGTAGAAAATATTTAAGACGAGAAAACATGGGAGAGAAACGACAGTAAAAAAAAAAAAAAAAAAAAAAAAAAAAAAAAAAATATGAGAAAAAAGAAAAAAGCACACGACACGTCCCGGGCGCTCGGCAATGATATAACCATATCTCTCTCTAAGATCCGAGATCTCCTTTCCACTACTTTCCATCCATCTCAAGTTACACGAGCATCTTCCTTTCACGGCGAAACAAATACAGCCTCCCCACCAGAAAGCACCAAAAAGGGTTCTTCACAAGGGTTTTCTCCCTTTATCCAACTCCCCCTCCCCCCAATCCCAATGGCCATCAGACGCTATTTGCACAGTGTTATCAAAGTTACACTTCCTTAATATAATCATTCCCCCCCCCCCAACCCATCCCGTTGCCCCGTCTTTCATCGTCTCAAGTCCATGTGTGCGTAGAAACTAAAATATCGCGGAGGAAGGGGACTGCGAGGGAAAATACACAAGAGAGTGAGAGAGCGCGGCACGACTACAAAAGGAGTATGAACGGTATTTAAAAGCCGAGGCATTGGGCGAAAACCGCGAAAAGGCCCATAAGTATACAGGCAGGGACGATAAAATATTCCCCGCTCGGCACAGCGCGAGTGGCTTCGACTTCTGTGCCTATGGTCGGTTCGCATTGCCACCGCCACCACCACCACCACTACCACCGCCGCTTCGGGGAAGCAGCGCTTCAAATGAGATCCGATCATTGAATTTCGTGGGACTGGAGAAACAAGCCAAGGCGAATGTGCGAGGCGAAGAGAGAGAGAGAGAGAGAGAGAGAGAGAGACGAGAGACGAGAGACGAGAGACGAGAGACGAGAGACGAGAGACGAGAGACGCGCTCGGTATCGTAAAAGCCTCGTTAAATCGTCGCGATCGACGTGACCTCTCATCGCCCTCGACACCCGCTTTCACTCCCAACTTAGACGATGCGCTGACTTATACGAAATCGTATCAATCAGAGGAGGAGATAACCGAACGCGCAAAATGGCACTCCCACCGGCTCCCGCACCCCGGCATCGCCCAACCTCATTAACGGACTGTCAATCAAAGACTGATAGCGATAAATAAACCTTTTCCCGTCCACCCCACTACATGCGCACACACCCTTCCAGGGGCGAGCTCGCGCGATAAAGCATTTTTATTCGTGAGCCAGTGCCGTGGGTATTCCCGACTCGCTTATATAAATGTCTCGTCAGAGATCGGGAGGGACGAGGCCGACAAAGCAGCTCCGGCGCGTCCGCATATTTACGCCCCGACATTGACGTGTATTTCGAATCTCCCGCGCCTCCTTGACTTCCGAGCCCGGCATCATCGTATCGCCTATCGCTGTACTTTTTTTCATTTCACGGTTGCTCCTTTTTCGCGCCTCCTCGCGCCTTAACCCTCCACCGGTACCGTGAAATCGCTCGTTTATTTTTAGAATTAAATCTACGTACTATCGATGCCTCTGCACGCGCCGCTTTTCAAGCTTCGACTCTTCTTCCCTCCACTCTTTTCTCTTCGCTCCCTCCTCGTTATCCTCCTCCTCCTCCTACTCTTCTTTAACTAATCTATATAACTAAGCGAGGCTTTTGGGAAGCTCGCGTACGATGACAATCGACTCGATGTGGATTATCAAACGTTCTAAGAGACACGAACTATCTAAGAGATGACTTAAGGGAACACAATATTGTGTTCACAATTTTGTGCACATCAACGCCGATAAACGTATGTCCGACGAACCTATTACATAGGATCTATATTCTAGGAATAATTCACCTCCGATAAAGTAGAAACGTGTAATGTGCATGCGCAAAGATTGTCCGACCGTCAGTCGACGGGAAACGCCAAAAACAAAAACGAAAAATTAAAATCTCTCAAACACAACGAGGATTATTTGATTATTTGAACGATCGAATTAAGATTAGGACGATGAAAAGCTTTGGACGCGTCAATTGCTAAAAGGGCGGGATCTCTCTATCGTTCGTGCGATTTTTTTCTCATGTCACGAATAAGCATAAAGTTTTGGTTGAAAGAAGCCAACGGCTCATCCATCGGTCACCGTGGCAGGCGCCCACAAAATTGAGTGGCCGATCGGATTTCCGGCGCAGCTGATGCGAAAGTGGATTCGAGAAGCCTGGCTACCACCGCCTCTGACGCCGCCACCGCCACCGCCATCGCCGACGCTGCCAAGAATATAAGTCTACGAGCGCAAGGCGAAACGAACGGAGGAAAGGAAAAGTCGTTGGGAGCATGAATGGCAATAAAAGAAAGAGAAGGGGGTGGTGACGCTGACGGCGTAGGCATAAAGGCCCTTGGCTCGCCTCGACCCGATGAAATTGAAAATCGATCTCGCGTGCAATGGCGAGAGCGAGCGCGCGCGCGGAAAAATTAGCCATTAAGGTAATTGGCTGTGCTACTTTGGCAAATCGAAAAGCCGCGGATGCGACGACAAGAGGTGGCCGTGGGAGGGTATTTGGTGGTGAGGCGAGGCGTGGTAAGGGGGAAGGAGAGAGAGAGAGAGAGAGAGAGAGAGAGAGAGAGAGGGAGAGAGAGGGGGAGAGGGGGCGGGATGGGGGGTTTCAGAACATCGCGGATCCGTCGGGCGGACGACGATTCGCGGCCGCGATTGGCCGGCGCCTCGGCTACCCTCGGGGCAATTGCATCAATAAACGCATCTCTTACTGGGTGCGTAATGTGAAGGCGGCGGAGGTTATGCTCGACGGCAGGTGAAGGCCCTTGATAATTTCCTGCCAGAGCTTCTTGTTGATGACGTCGACGAGACCGCCCCGGGCGATCACCAAGTTATATAGCTCGTAGAGATCGAGGACCGACTTTGCCATTATCGGCAGCCGGTTTATCGGTGTTCCTGAAACAGATGCGAGAATGCGTGTGTTAGATCGTCCGCTCTATAGTATTTGATAAAAAGTATGTGAAATATCATGGAAAATGGAAATTTTTAAATCGATTGCGCCAAGGCGAAGAGCAACGATAAGGGACAATGTGCTTCGACGATAGCCAGTGCCGCGAAGTAAAAGCCGATCGGCGATTCGTGTATTCGTTGCCAATTCGCCTCCACCCCTTCGTTCCATCATTTCCCACCTAATAAACGTGGGTGGGCGTGCGTGCGTGCATGCGTGCGTGCGTGCGTGCGTGCGTGCGTGCGTGCGTGCGTGCGCGCGAGTGGCGTAGGTGGTGAATCGCACCCGCGTTTCTGGAAAGCAACGACGAGAGGCCCAGCGTCGTGGCTCGCCAAGTCGTAAAAACTACACTCCTTCGCGTGATAGTCGCGAATTCATTATTACTCTCGTTAACGCTCCTTCGGCTTCTCGTCTCCGCCTCCTCTCCGCTCGCCATCTCCCCCACCCGGGAGGAAACGTCGTAAAATTCTCATCGGGGCCGCGCCAAAGTTTTACGCGATACTTAAAAGCTAACCGTAGATGTGTATCTAAGCGCACCGCGACCCGACTCCGTCTCCCGGACCCTCAACCACCCAACAATCCATCTACCCACCCGTCCTCGCCTAACCTTACGCGGACCTTACGCTCACCGTAGGTACGCATCGAGTTTTGGCACCACGACGGCACTGCTGCCCAAACTCGCTCTTAAATACGACTTTGGTTCTCCGTACGTTGACCTGGCCCCTTTATACTACTTATCCTGTGCTACACGTCATCCTAAGGATCCAACTTGTAGGGAGGTTAGTGACGCCGTAATTACAGGAAAATTAAAGTATTTATGCTTTATTGCGGCTCGCTTATACTAATACCGGAGTTGCCAGAAATTTTTATGAATTTTACGAGTTAGTGAATATATTTAGAAAAGTAGGTAGAAATTCACGTATTAGAAAAGGCAAGAGTTTCGTTATCCTTATAAGCGTGGTTGGTAAGCCCCTTCTTAATAACAAATGCGAGACAGTCGCCGAGGCTCTGTGCACCTCGGCCCGACAGCCAAACAATCCCCAACACCCAGTTACCTCGTGCGAAGCTTTAACTCCACCCCGCGAATCTTGATCGCCCATTCGTCCTGAGAGTGCATCAGCTTCGCGTACTCACTCGATTGCCAATCTGATGCAATCGAAATGAGGTGTTATTTATTGTAATACATAATGTCTCCGACCGAATAAAGCGTCCAGAGTAGCGGTTTGAACCTCGTGTTTGGCATCGTAACAGCGACTCGGGCGCATGCGCGCAAAGGCTTAAAGAACCATTTATTCGAGGATATTTACAAAGCGGTTATGAGCAGCGATCAGTTGCTCGAAAAATCTCGCGGTGCAACCTTTTTCACGTGGGACGTGGTCTCTTGCTCCTCGGGCCTTAGGAGAGCCGGAGACGAGACGGAGGAGGTCGGGTAAGTAAGTGCCGTCTCACGAAGCTCAATAATCGAGCAAAAAAAAAAAAAAAAAAAAAAAAAAAAAAAAAAAAAAAAAAAAAGAAACAAAAAAAGAAAAACAGGACGAGAAAAAAAATCCTTTATAGACGCGCGCATCGCACAATTTCTGCTCCCATAATGTAACGACCGCTGCGCGCATCGCACATACGTCCGAGTGCATAAAATATATGCGCTGGTTCGCATCTACTTAAGGCCGCGCACGCACTCGCGCGCTAACGGGCGAGACAGAGAGAGAGAGAGAGAGAGAGAGAGAGAGAGAGAGAGAGAGTGAGACAGTGCAGGGGGTGGGGGAATGGGGAGGGAGTTTAAGAGCCGACGCGGCGGAGCATGGAAGGGATCGTTTATCCGCCATTGAGGACGAAGGGCTCGTACGGCCGCCATTTTTCTACCTCGCGGGCAGCTACGAGAGAGCATGAGCCGAGGGCGGACGAGTGGGGGAACCGGCAATTTTGGGCTATCGAGAAGAGGCTTGGCCCCTCGGGCTTTATTATTGGCCCCGCAATTACTCATGATATATATACAGCGCGTACGGGGAGGCTTTTTTAATGTCCCCCAACTCTCCTATCTCCCCTATCTCTCTCTCTCTCTCTCTCTCTCTCTCTCTCTCTCTCTCTCTCTATCCGTATCTCTCTCATGTCCCGGGTACTTCGCTCTCCTACCTCGGCCCGATGCTAAATTCTTACAGGAGCACTCCTGCGCACGGATATAAAGACCGAGGAAGCGATAAGACCGGGGAGAGGCGGAATATGGCAATGGATGCATATTACGCACGTACACTTATGAAGTACGCGACGTCGCGGAGTAAACGAACGCAATATATCACGGGCCGGTTGTTAAGACGAGCACCCCGATTATGCTGCGGCCCGGACCCCGTTTTTTTTATCCCCCTTATTCGCAGATTCTTGGGGCACTTTTGCAGCTTTTTTCATGCGCCCCAACGATAATGAAGAAGACCCCCGTACTCTCTCCATATAGAGATGTTTAGTTTAGGCTCTCGAGATATTGCAGATAGATAATTATACGCTACGGGCGAATATTTTGCTGCCAACGAGACAATGTATACTGTGAGGCTTTTATTATTGCGCTCGGTGGGTTTGGGCTCCTTTAAATTATTAATTTACCACGGAACCTTCGCCCCTCCTTACAATAATTTTCAACTCTTTGAGATTTATATTCGGATTTAACTATTTCGTTGGTATTTAGCCTTTTTACCAGAGTTAAGTCGTCCTTTCGCCCCGCTACATCCGACAAGCTCCTTCCTCATTTATCCACAAATTTTGCAGTCCCTTGAGATGAAAAATCAAACGGCAGGTGTAATCGCAAAATTGCCAGCGCTTTATTCCATATTTATCGTAGATTATAATTATTGGGTATGATGACAAGTCACGAGGGAATAAAAAAAAAAAAAAAAAAAAAAAAAAAAAAAAAAAAAAAAAAAAAAAAAAAAAAAGAGAAAAAACGAGGGGGAGGTGCGTGCGCGCAAGAGCAAGGACGTGGCAAAAACCATATGAAAGTAAAAGAGACTCGAAGACGGAATTATACGATGTAAAGTCACCGAGTAATATGGATATCTTGAAGGTCGCGACGACGACGGCAGTTGCCGCAATAACCCAAGATATAAAAATGACTTTCATAGGAGCGAGCGTCGTTCATTGCCCATCGCTGGTCAACAAGTGGCCCAGCGAGTGAGACGAACGCGCACAACCGCTCGGATGGATGGACGGACGGACGGTTTGGTCATTCGCTCGTACAGTCTGCATTGTTAATTATGAAATTTTCATATGAAATCTCGACAGCATTATTATGATGTTCGGAGCTTAATTCTAAAACTGACCACGTGGTCGTGATAAACCTAGGAAGGCGCCGATAAATTAGAAGCATTTCGTAACGTTATCACTTCGCAATAATTTTGTCAATAATGTGCAAATGGATTTATTCGTTGGCTTAACTTTGAATTCGCACTCGCGCGCTATTCCCCAGGTATACTGATTTTCTCAACAATTTACTTTCTATGATTATTAACATTTTTTTTTTTCCCCGTAAACTTGAAACACAAAAAGACTGCTATCAACGTTAATTTTATTATTGCTTTCGACTTGATTAATAAGAGGAAAAATATTACACTTGCGTTTGTGTTTGTAAGTGCGTATTGTATTCGAGTCTCTTAATAAAAGTTCATGATTTTCAGTTGAAGCGTCGTTGCGTTAAATCATTTAGCACGATTGAAATTATTTTTACATTTCAACTGACTTTCCCGGAAAAAAAAAAAGAAAAAGAAAAAGAAATCCGTGACGGTTCAGGAATCCGTAATTATTCAAACTAGTGAAATTTTCATAATCCTACAAATAAGCTTTGTTTTATGTTCTTAAACTATTTCAACCAATCCGATAATAGATTCGTCCTCGACTCTTTTTTTTCTTTGTTGTTGTTTTTTTTTTTTTTTTTTTTTTTTTTTAAAATTTTTTATTCCCTCGTGACTTGTCATCATACCCAATAATTATAATCTACGATAAATATGGAATAAAGCGCTAATTTGCCAGTGAACTATAAAACACATCGATTTATAGATATAGCCATCATTTTCTAGACCTATTTCATTTTTCGATTGAGACTGTGCAGCTAGTTGATTCTAAGGGAACGAGAGTAGCGGGGAGGGAGGAGATATAGAAAGACAGACAGAGGAGAGAGAGAGAGAGATAATAAGAGAGAGAATGCGAGAGGGAGCGGCATTTCAGGATGCGATTATGACTTTTCTTGGTAGGGCGTCCAATCAGCAGTTATTTTTATAATGGCCGTCGACGTTGCTCTCTCTCTCTCTCTCTCTCTCGCTCTCGGTCCCGTGCGCGCGTACTCGCTCTCACTCTATTGCTGATTCTCCTCATTTTTCCGTCTCTCTCGCACGGCAGTGAAGTCCCGGCGTAATATACCGATTTCGCTCGCACGCGTCGATGGCCCACATAGCAATGACTCGACGCCCTTTTGCTGCCGTCGTTGCCGATGATGATCACAATGATTGTTCTTTCATCCTTTTCCGGTCGATCTTAGCTCGACAAACAACAAATAAACCACAGTGAAAAAGGATTTATATTTTGCCGAGACTCGAGCTACTTATGTCAATCAAAATCATAATAAATTGTCGACTTTGCTATTATTTATTGTCCAGCTACTGGCCGACATCTTCGACATCTCCGCGTGTCGAATTGCAAGTCAAATTGAGATGGAAATCTAAAAGCCTACAGTACAATTTGCAAAAAAAAAAAAAAAAAAAAAAAAAAAAAAAAAAAAAAAAAAAAAAAAAAAAACAAAAAAAAACGAAGCGAGTTTCTTACAGAGCAACTTGACACGAACATTTTTATTTACAACGAAATTTTTCAAAATCAATTCAAATCAACCGACGGCGTCGACCACTGCGTGCATTAATTAATGCGAATGACAAGGGTCAACAATCGGCGGCAATCACCGCTCGTCGTAACTCAT